TCCCACTGGGCAGGTGGAACTGTAGTCACAGCTGAGTGTAATTAGAAAATCTGTAAGGATACCACTACTTTGCATCAATTTTAAAGCAACCCGTTTAATTTGGTTGATGAACTCAAGGTAAGAAAATAAAACTTGTAATTTTTCCTGTTTGTTTATTTAAAAAAAAAAAAAAGGTTGTGTTTCTTTCTGCAGTATTTATTTGTCTATGCAGCATTAACAGCCAGCTAGTTTTGGAGACTGGAAGAACAGAGGACACAGAAGGGAGGGTTGGATCACTTCATACACAAAATCAATCCATATTAGCCTTCAGCTATGGAGGAATGAGAGCATCCAGAATTGAACTTTTAGCTCTGACTGAAATGAATAGCTGTTCAAAGCCAGGTTTTTGGTTCATTTACTTCACTTGAATTTTCTTGCTTTGTTTAGTACAAGAATTTATCATGTCATTTGAAATGTAAACATATCTAAACTTATTCTGCCGGAATAAAACAGAACTTCTTCTGTATTCATTTACTGTAATACGCTGCTTCCTACCCATGCTTTCAACAGAAAATCATCTTGGTTCAAATGTTTTAAAAGAATTTTTGAAAAGGCAAAATGCCTTCCAACAATACTTTAAGAACTCAGTAGCAATGAAAAAAAAAGTACACGGTTCTAAATATCTTAAGGATGAATCCTTAATGCTGTGTACCTGTCTTTCTCTATGAGAGGACCTAAAATTTTGTTACCAGTTATTGTGTTAAATCCTAGTTAAGATGCTTGATGAAAACATGACAAGTAATCACTTGCATTTATCTACATATTTCTACTATTTTATTAAGAACTGCTATCTCGTCAAAGTCAAATGCTGAAATAGTTGAAGTCCCAACTCAACTCAGAAACAACAAAGTTCTAAAGAAATCAAATTAATAATAATTTACAGGCTCAAATCATTTGACTGATTTTAACAATCCTCCTGATTTAGCTTTTGGAATATTATTCAAACCTCAGTGAGGTGATCTGCCCTCTACTGAAGTAGTCTGAGTTGCATTTGTGTGGATTTCAGGAAAAAAAGAGGAACGAAAGTTACTATTTTCTTCTCTCTTTACTTAAAGCAGAACTAAAGGTAATAAATGTAAGATTTCAGCTGCTACATAGGTGATGCTGTTATTTTAGATACAGTTAGATAGATAAATCAATAGATTGAATATTTGTGCATTTATCTGCACTTTACTACTATCTGTTTTTTACTGAGATGGTGAATAAAGAAAAGAAAGAAAATCAGGAATAACATTTGAGATCATTTCTTCCTTGTAAGCTTTCCACAGGAGCTCTGGAAAAGAGATGGGACACTCAGGGCTGCAGTGACAGCAGCGTAGTAACCTGGAGGTCACAACTGCAAGGTGTGAATAAGAAGCTCTCCGATAAAGGTGAATTCCTGCAGCTTGGCCTTTGCAATTATTAAGCTCATTCAAAATAAGCTAGTAGTAAACGAGGTAACTTTGGTAACATTCACAGGAGAGAAATGCAGACTGCATTTTTTACAGATGCTGGAGAAAACTGGACATACGTGTGCTGCATGTCAACACATTCTATGGAGCTGAATGAAACTACTGCGCTAGGACATGCTCTGGAAGTGCCTGTTCTCTCCACTGACTGCAAAGAGAATGTAAAGCGAATCATTCAGGTACAGATATGGTATTCCAAGCTGTAAATATATCAAATTAGAGGAGGTGAATTTCACTCCCAGTCTCTTACTGCCTCATTGATTAGGAAACAAGTGTAAATAATTTGGCTCCCGTTTAATGAATGCTTCACTTCCTTGAGTACATGCTCCAACCCTGGATGAAGAGACCTTAGGGAACTATCTTTTGTTTACAGGCTCAACTGGTGTTTTGAAAAGGGAAATATTAAATTAGGTGTATTTCCAGGGGAGTCTGCTGTTGAGACTGATCAAAGGTATCACAAGATACAGAGAAAAGGGTCAAGTACATAAGCCTTCATGGGACAGACTGAACAGAGAGGACAGCCAGCCAGTTGTGATTACTATTAAAGAGAATCTTCTGGAGAGGGAATCGGCTAAGATTTTTAGGGAAGATTTAAGCTGAGTGCAGCACCTGCTCAGGGGGCGGACAAGAATTAAATAATAAATGAAAATAATGCCAGGTCTCCTCTTTCTATTGAAAGAGGAGCGAAAATAAAGGGTGCAAACAAAGCTACAACTTTCCTAGGAACTTCTCGTTATACTAATTATGAAAGGACTGGTTTCTCTCTCCTTGTAAGCACATGATCTTCCTGTTTCTGATTAGGCCTGTCATGTCAAGATTTCTGCACATGATGAATTTGAAGCATGGGATACTTCCATTGGCTCCTATGGGACTGTACACATCCAGAAAGTTAAACGAATGCACAAACATTTACAATGGCCATGGCCTGCAGATGTAAACTGATGGGGTTCTGAAACGTTACGTATGTACTTCCTATAGTCACTGAAAAAACATAACCAGAATCCTAAGACATTTAAATTATACCACAAGTAAGAGTAAATAGTAAATACAGCTGTGAAAATACGCATGCTGTTGAAATATCAAACTGGAATACAATGCCACACTTAAAGCCATATGCATCACTTAAAGTCTAGTACACTGCCAGCAAGTGAGAAGTTATGGCTTTTGCAGTGAAAAAAAAGTAAGTGGTTATAAAACATTAGGTTTGCAGTAGACAGGGACTGTTTTTTCATGAAGCACTGGTACTTCAGTTAGCAAACATTCTCTCAGGGTGCTGGTGATTTGCTCGAGGCACTGTGTCTATATTGCCTTGCATGGCAGGAACTCCAATCAACCTGTCCATCACAGTAAGGTTACAGATTACACAGTGCTTTATAAACAGTTTACAGCAGAAAAAAAACTGCAAATGCTCTACTAGAAACAGGAGCCATGTGCATGTCCAATTGTTTGTTCTGAGATGCAGATGTTTACAATAGCAAGAAAAAGAAGTTTAGCAATGAACAAACCAAAGATGGAGTGTTTGCTGCAATTTTTTTAAAAAATATATCAATGAAGCATGAGGTCAGTGTTTAGTTCTGCTTGCAATGACTGAAACCTCCTAGGAGCAACGTCTGGAGATGCTTATGGGAAAACTTATGTTTAATAACAGATTAGTTGGTAGATTATTAGCTTAGTACACAGCAGATGTGGGTACTTGTTTTTGAGAAGGATGCAAAGTGCCGAAGCAGAGATTTCCTGAGCACATTTGAAATAACATGGGCATAGGTAATGACCAAGTGGTACCCTGATACTTCTCTTTTCCATAGAAATTCAGAGTAATACCCACACCCACACTTTTCGTGGCCTGGGATCTATCACAGCTGCCAGGTTGTCCTCTCTGCTATTTGTGCCCCTGATTTTCTTCTCTAGGTATAGGTAAAAACACCCTGGAAATCCTTGAAAAACAGGTGCAACATGAGGGAAAACGATTTATCTACCTTTTATCATAAAATGATAGAATGGCCTCAGTTGAAAAAGACCACAATGATCATCTAGTTTCAACCCCCCTGCTATGTGCAGGATTGCCAACTACTAGACCAGGCTGCCCAGAGCCACATCCAGCCTGGCTCTGAGTGTCCTACCATCTGTATCCAGTTTACAGATGAAGCTAAATTCTGCTGTGGGCTACAATGACTAGGGCACAAATTCCCAGCAGAGCTGCAGGAGGAATCATAACCATGTAACCCTGATAGCCTAGAATAAGAAAAAGTAATCACTGTAGCAAAATCCAGCTACCACTGTAATGGAGCAGCATGGAGTAGGCATTCCCACCCCTTAGGGCTTGATATAAATTCAGAAGAAAGTATGCATTACTGCCCAATAAATCAGAATTGAAGTTTTAAAGAGCAAACCCTTTAGAAAAGACTTCTTTGCTTAAAAATCACAGAAAAGGGGGAAAAAACAAACAAACAAACAACAAAAACCTGAAGTAATGGCAGTTTAACTCCTGCAGCTCAGTGATAAACTAAATAATTATCTAAGAGGAAATGAGTCTCTAAATATATGATCAGAAAGAAAACTTTTTTTTGCAGGAAGAAACTGGTGATTGCTTTCCAAGAAAATTTAAAAGCTGCTTTGAAAAAATAAAAGCTACCATATGTGATGATAGTATTAAAGAAAAACAGAACCTCAAGGACAGATCAAGAACATTTACTTTCCTTTCACATAAACACACACACACTCCCATATACGCTCTCCATTAATGACTGATGTTTACTGAAAGTCATTTCAATAAATCTGTCTCCCTTCCTATCTAAAAACTTTGATCCTCAAATGCAAACCCAAGTCTAGCACTGATCATTAAGGAATCTGAGACAGCCGTGCCCAAGCACCTCTGCAGAAACAACTGCAGCTGTTTAAAGATACTACTACTACTCAGCTGTTTGGTGCTGCTTCTCACCCCACCCACACATACATATATATATATATCAATCATATATAGGTCATTTGGGAATTCCTCATATGCTTCAGTGCACAGGCAGCTGGGGCGGTGTAATCTGCTTCTGCAATGCTTGTCTGACTGTGCTCTTGGTGAGCAGGATCTGACTCATTCAGCTCAAGGTTACCACAGTGGGTAACACCAGATCTTTTGCACCACCCGTGCTGGCTCTCTACTTCAAGGCTTTTTTCCCAAGGAGTTTTTTAGAGGCTCCTCTCAGAGAGTAGAAATTCAAGCAATTTTCTATACTTCTTTCTCATAGCCCTTATTCAGCTGTAAGCAGATTCACCACAGAAAGTTCATGCAAACCATTTTTTAAGCTGCACTAAAGCTCGATGGAGAGACTGACACAAACTGATGTTAAAAATTACAGAGAATTGCATTGTCATACAAACTGATCTGAGCAACAATGAAACACAGTAGGATCTGCATGACATATTGGAAGGGAGATGCTAACTCTACTCTGTCCAACAAAAGGTGCCCGAAACTGGAAACATTTTCCCACTGCAGATAGTGTTACAGGAAATTTTGCTTACCTGCTGAAGGGAGAAGAAAACAGGACTGAATAACTGATAGCGAAGACTCTGTAGCAGGTATCCAAGAATCACATGAAAACTCTTGACAGGTGATACAATTTGGTTAAAAAATTCATCCCCTTGTAAAAAAGGCAGCTCTGCAATAAAGAGATGAACAAAAAGTAGCATTGCACATGCTGTCATTCTAGGAATTGTTTCTCCATTGTGCACTAATAACCTCACACACATCACAAACAGAAGTGAAACAACTGCAATACTCAGTTCACATATCTCATATCACATATCACTGATATAAGTGAACGTTTCTTTAATTTTCCCTTCCCTGCTTCGTTTTCCTTAAGAGGGAACCAACGCATTGACACCAGCTCTAAGCACTGTGTTTATCACCGAAGTGGAGAAGCCACTTTCCATTAGCATACGCACTGCAAGCAGTTCTGCATCCAAGAACAACAGAAAGGTTTGAAATAAGCTTCATAGTCTGCAATGATCACCAGCTTTGGAGAGAAGCTGTCCTGTAAGACCTGGAAAAGTATTACATGCCTCAATTAAAAATAATGGAAATTCTTGCTTTAGGGCTTCAAATAAAGGTTGTAATGTCTGTCTGCCTGTCCACAGCTGGTCTTGAAGTGAGATGCTTACAAACACAATAAACAACCCTAGAGTGGATATCTTCCTGCAGCATAGAATTTATTCTTATGTGACTTCTATCCCAGTATAATCACCTTCATAATTAAAATACTTTTTTTTTTTTTAATCACTGGGCAATATATACCAAAAGTACTAAATAATAATAATGATGATGATAAAAACAATTAGAGATCTACATATACACAGACTCAGCACACACATGCATACACATTCTGAGTTCAGTTTTTCAGCACATTGTACGTGGCATAGTCATTTGTAGCAGCTCCACCACACTGCTAAATATAACTAGCAGCAATATACAGAGTTCATTCTCAACTCACTTAAACCTGGGTATAAAACAGTCCAGCTTTATTTTCCTAGTATTGCATACACACTTTGTAAGTCACTTCTACGTTTTAAAAAGTTGTACTTCTTACTAACATTAATCTTCTGTGCCTTTGAGAGAACTAAATAATCACAGAACCATAGAATGGCTTGCGTTGAACACAACCATCATTTAGTTTCCACCCCCTGCTGTGTGCAGGGTCACCAACCACCAGACCAAGGCTGCCCAGAGCCACATCCAGCCTGGCCTTGAATGCCTCCAGGGATGGGGCATCCACAGCCTCCTTGGGCAACCTGTTCACCAACCTCTGTGTGAAAAACTTCCTCCTACTATCCAACTTAAACCTCCTCTGTCTCAGTTTAAAACCATTCCCCCTTGCCCTATCACTATCCACCCATCCTTAATCTTTGATCACCTTATATTCTTGTCTTCTGTCTGTTCTAGGGTATGCTTCCAATTTCTCTTTTACCAAGTCAGAGGCCTTAGTTTAAATAACTGTGTACAAAGCCAGGAGTTTTACACTGCAATGCGTTAAGGAATGCACACTCAAGCAGCTCAGCACTCAGTTTGCAGAATGGGAGAAATTATCTAAGCTTGAAAGCTTGTAAGGAAGTGGCACTCTGCATACATGGGGGGCAATGAAACCGGCCTTTTCAGCAACACCCATACATCTGAAAGATGACAAATGAACATATTTCATGTGAGATATTTCACATAAATGCTTAAAAAAGGTAAGAACACCATACACTGCTTAGGAACATCCTATGCCAACAAAAACTCCTGCAGACATAGACAGGAGTTGTCCAAATACATGAAAAATTTTGTTAAGCAAAGCAACCTGTATTAGGGCAGAATTTTCTTGGTTTGGCTGGCTTTGCAGTAGAAGCACCTGCCAAAACCACAGCGGTTAGGACACAGACGTCCTTCAAAGCCACAAACAGCTCAGCTCTGCTGAAAGTGCATATCATCATAACACCTCTCTAAAATAATAGGTGTTGCCATGAATTTCGGCTTTATTTCCACCCTGCTTAAAAGACAAACTGAAAAAAAAAAAAGATTCTTTATCTCCTTTTTAATTTAAAGTATATGAGAATTCCCGCTGAGATTGGACAGAAAGTGCAATAAGAGCTATTTGGTTCACAGATTAGATGCTTACAGGTATGAAAATACTGTTGTGCATGGAGATTCTGCTTTGACACTTCAGTGCCAGCAAATAAGAACATCTTCCACACTGCCTATAACCTGTGGTAATTTGATTAGCTGGAATAACAAACCAAAACCATACCACAATTTTTTAGGACTGGGGGGGAGGAAGTACTTCAGGGCAAAGATCCTCAGCCATTTTGATTGATGATCAAAGCTCAGCCATTCCTTAAATGTATGAAGCATCATTTCTTTTTAAACTTGTGAATTATATTTATTTTGCTCTCATCTAATATCCTGCACATTTCAACCTATTTATAGGCTCAGAGGAAATGGAAAATGAGAATGCATGAGGAAAGTAAATAAATAAATAGATAGATCAGCCCACAGTGCTATAGTATGGAAGCTGTAGGACATTTTAACTAAGTGTATTTGTTGCACCAGTGGAGCAATCAGTGTGTTATTTGGGCAGCAGAGCCGATCAGGAATTCATACAGCTTTTTATTACCAAGCATTGATACCATGCCTTAAAGCAGGCACTTCCCAGAGGTGAGTTTTAGAATCAGTTTTGTTTCCTAAGGCACAGCATCACTTACAGACCCCCAAGCCTTGCTACAGGGAAAGCAGGAACAAAAATCCTTGAGGACAATCACTGCGGATGACCCTAAACACTTTTGCAGACACAGCCATCACTTCGCTGCTTTAGGGCCTGAGATCTCCCAGCCAGCACGGAAGGAGACACGAGCCCAGAGGAGTGCAGATCCCAGAGCACACTCACAGATGCAGTACAAACATGGACTAATGTAGCCGCCCTCTTTATCTACATGACTAGCTTAGTCGTGAATGTGAGTAAAACTAATTCTTTTCCAACAACAGGAACCTGTTTGGCCAAGGGAATGCCAGCTCCTACTTAGGACAGACAGCAGGGGCTGCAGTAAATCCCTCTTTCAGTTGAGCTGACACAGTTGCCCAGTGATGCCTCTGCTTAGCCAGCTGCAGTCAGAGGAATCAGTCACGGACCAATTTGTGGTATTACTGTGCACGTCATTCAACTCAGCTATGAGTGACTGTCAAATAACTCCCAACATTTCAGTAACTGCAGTATGCAAGGTGCTAGCCAAGAACCAACATGCTAGATGGAAACTGATTATAACTATAGCCAGCCTGGCATGATTGAGGTCTGCTGCCTGAAAACCCACAGCAGAGCATTACGGGCCTTCTCCTGTTGAAAGATGTTCTGACCACAGTGACCAGGAGGAACATTGGTGGCTGGAAATGCAAAGGCTGGGTCACTGCTTCAGTTCTGTAAGCTCAGGTAAATCAAGCAGAAGCGTGGAAAGAAGTAAGAAGGCACCGATTTAAAAATACAGTTCATACTCTCCACTTTCTCTGTGTGTGGGTTCTTTTTGGTGATGGATAAGTAGCATTTCAGTCTATGAAGCAACTGGCATTTGTGCTCTCGATATTCCCCTCCCTGGCTATTTAATAAACCAGCATACATCTGGTCCCAAGCATCAAAACCACATGGTTCAACATATGCTATAGCTGCTACCCAGGCACCCTCATTTACTGTTTTTTTCGGACTAATGCAGGATTTGTATGTAAAAAAAATGATGTATGTATTTCTTTTTGCCAGAGATAAAAGATAACTGTACTTCCTCTGCACAAGATTAATTTTCTGAAGGGAAAAAATGTCACTTTAATTAAGCTAGAATTCAAGCCACAAACTCAAATTATAACAGAAGGATGAATTCTGATGAATTCTGGCTACAGAAATCAACAGGAAAACCCTTGTTGACTTTCCCTGGGGCAACACTGTACCCCAGACAAATAATGATTGTTTTTAATACTGACTTCTTGTAGCTGAAATCTTTTTGCTGACCATCTGTTTCTGTTCCATGTATGTTTCTGAGTTTTCTGCTGCAGTAGTGACAATCTGCTTGTGCATCTCCGAGGATGTAAACTTAGCAAGACAAAAACCCAAAAGGAATATCTTCTCCTCAAAACCCTTGGTGTTACCCTTATAAGAAGTTGGAGGAAAACTCATAGAAAGCTCTGCACCAAAATGGGTCAAATTTTATTCCGTGGAGACAAAGGAAAATCTAGAATGTGTACCAAGAACAAGAACAAAATGTAAGGGGCTATTAATAAAATTAACTTAGTCCAAAAATATCAAAAGATATCCTCTCTTTCCTTAGATTGCAACCTTTTCCATCCTGAAAACTCCTGCTTAAAACCTCTTTCATTCTTTGTTTGCCATCCCTTAAATCTCAAGCACAAAGACTAGCTGACAGCACAGACCAAAGTGGTGCTTTCATGGGGTTCTGCCTGTTACATGCGGGACCAATTCCACCAGAAAAGAGCCAGACTGCTGAAATTGAGCTGTGCAGTAAATCCCTTGATTTGTTACCCAATAATGCAAATGTTTCATCAACATTACTTAAGCAAAAACACTTCATAAGCGAAGCCGCAAATGCAGCTGCACCACTGCCAGTGTTCTCATGGTGCCAGCAGGCTGCGAGTTGCATCACAGAGGTAAAACAGCATCACATTTGTGAAGAGGTGACTGCCACATGACAAAACAGTCCAAAAAAACCAACCCAAAAGCTGTGCTCCTCCAGATCATAAATGTCATTGCAGACTGCCATTTCTAAACCTTTCTGTACTGTCCTGGTTTTGCTTTTAATGACCACTATAACAAAATGCTTAACGTCTGCAGAAAAAGACTGGAAAATCCTATTCACGTGAATCATTTCTATCTATGTTCATATTTGATGTATTACTGCTTAGGTTTTACCAGTTGTCCATTTATAGAACTCCCATCAGAAAATCTGTGTCCCACCATGATTCTAATACAAAAAATAAGGTTCAGGTAGCTCAAGGTGGAGTTCTTCTGGGGAACACCACATTTAACTAAACATTGTTAGCTCCCTTCAGTTTTCTCAGGTGAAACAGAAAGACCTTTCCCGTGCTTCCATTAAAGCGCTCAAAGTTATGAATTTTTGACACAGCCTTTGAATG